ACCCTCCACTGGAATCTGCCTGATTCCATTCCCTCGGATTATCCCTCCAACCGCCTTGCCATCTGCCTTGGTCGGCAGAAACGACCGCCCCGTTTCTGCCTAAATCGTTGGGGTTTTGTTTCGAAACTACTGGTCGGACTCGGCCCCACTTTGCGGCACCGGGGCCGAACATTCACACCTCCCGGGCCCGGCTTGTGTCAACCATCACCTCCGGCTGCACCAGTCGAGAGCTCTCGCCTCCTCACAACTTGGTAGATAGATGCCTCGATACCTGGCCTCAAATCCGGCCCTTTCTCAGCAATCTCCACCCTATACCAACTTCTCTTCTTCTTCCCTTTCTTCAACTTCTTTTTTCTTTCTTCTCTCTGCCAACCACATCACAAGCTCCATCCAACTACGACAGCTTTCTCTTCTCACCAACGACAGCTTGCTTTCTTCGACAAGGAAAGCATTCAGCCCCAAACACCAAAGACAACCCCCCTTCCGTAAGTTCGTCTTCCTGTTTTCTATTTTCTTCTGTTTTTTCATGATGTTCCCCTTCGTCACCTCTTCCTTTACGATCTTTGCCTTGGTCGTTTTCATTCTTTTCCTTATCCTTCGTTACTTGTCCCTTCATACCATTTGCCTTTGTCGTTTTTATTGTTTTCCCTGTCCTTCGTTATTTGTCGCTTTATGATCTTTACCTTGGTCGTTTTCATTATTTCCCTTCTTTTCCTTATTATCTTTCGTTTTCTCTACTTCCATGACTTTTACCATTATTTTGTTCAGTAGTCCCCTTTTTTCTCTTATTATCTTTTGTTACCTCTGTTTCCATGATCTTTGCTTTTGTTATTTTTACTAGTTCCCTTATTCCCCTTGTTATCTCTCGTTACCTCCCCTTTTATGTTCTTTACTTTTATTAACTCTATTGTTTTCTCTATTCTTTATTATTACTATAACTCGTCACCTCCCCTTTTATGTTCTTTGCCTTTGTTATTTCTATTGTTTTCTCTATTCTTTATTATCACTATAACTCGTTACCTCCCCTTCCATGTTCTTTACCTTTGTTGGTTCTATTGTTTTCTCCATTCTTCATTATCACTGCAACTCGTCACCTCCCCTTCCATGTTCTTTGCCTTTGTTGGTTCTATTGTTTTCTCCATTCTTCATCATCACTGCAACTGGTCATGCGTTCGCTCTCGCTCGCTCGTATTCGTCCATGATACTTACTATGGGAAACAGGGAATAGAAACATGAGCCTTTCTTTAGGTGCTGGTGGCAATGGTGGCTTCGGAGGTGGAGGTGGGGGGGTAGGCTCAGGCCTGCCTCCTACACCTTCCGGCTACGGAGACGTAGCCGCCTTTATCAGGACCTTCGAGGGGAAGGTCGCTAGCCTTCTCTCACTGGCCGCGAGGTCAGTGAGCACCATTGCTACTGGTGAGGTGGCCGATGCTCGGAGGGTTGTGGCCCTTTTTATACGATGGCTGAGTGAGGTTTGGTCGCGCTTCCCCTCCCAGGTGCCGCGGGAGATCTTGATGGCAAGATTCGCCATCAAGAGGAAGCTCGAGATCATCATGAAGACGCCGTCAGAGGGTCTCCAGGAGAAGAGACATCGCTTCTTTCTGGGGCCAGAGAAAAACAGCGCCCGAGACCTTGTCCAATGGCTCAACGCCCTGTCCGACCGGCCTCTAGAGCCCCCTCGACCGGCTTTGCCCACCCTCGCGCCTACCCCAGCTCCGACTTCGTCGACCGCCGCCAGATCAACCAGGCCCAACTCTTCGACAAACAGGTCGGCGGATGGTGTCAAGCCTGTTCCCCGCGACCATCCCATCTGGGGTGTCTTGGGCATCATGCATGGACTCGGCCTGCGACCAGGAAGCAAAACGCAAGCATTCAATCCTGCCTACGATGAATACAAACGGTCAGCCAAAGTTCTCGGACACAATGGCTTGGCAATTGGACAGTGGTTTCCGAATCAGTTGTCTGCGATGTGGTACGGCGGACATGGCGAGTCCAACGCGGGCATCTCGTACATGAGAGGGCCAAATGGCGAACCGGGCCCTGCCCTTTCCATCATCATGGCAGAGAAGTACAGTGATATCGACGTCGACCGTGGTGACGATATTGTCCACTGCGGAAGCAATTCACTTGATAACACATCGAGCAACACTCCCGTCGGACCGCCCGTTCGGGGCAATGCAGCTCTCTTGGTTTCCAAGGAACGCCAGTCTCCTGTTCGTGTCTTTCGCAAGGCGAAGAAGGGCAATAACGGCTCCGCTTACGCGCCTAAAGTCGGACTGCGCTACGATGGCCTCTATGTTGTTGTCGGTTACAGTAAGGCCACAAACGACAAAGGCGGCATCTACCATAAGTTCACCCTGAGACGCGGAGATGGCCAGCCTTCTCTTGATACTCTCAGAAACATACCCAGCAGAAAGAAGCGGAGAGATTATGCAAAGATCGACGAAGGCTACTAGTTCCGACAACTCTTTCGACTGAACTGCTTCATTCCTACGAGCAGGGCGACACAGTCTACTGGTCAAGAGAACCTTACTCTAGGTGGAAGGAAGCTGTATGGGCATCGAGTTTTCTTTTCTTTTTCTTTTTCTTTTCGGGGCCGAGGGGGCCATATTGGCTCTAGCAGCATGATCAGGCATGATCATCAGGCAATCGTTTCCATTGAAGGATCGTCGCCAATCATCATTGCACTTTCTGGGCCTGGGGTAGGCTACCGTGGATGGTATCGGCAAGATCAACAGGATTACTTTCCCATTGAAGAATCGTTTCTAGCTGCATTTTGGGCGTTTACAAGGGTCTTCAAAGATTCAGAGTCTATGGGTGGTGGAGGTAATATCGGAGGAGAGCTAGGGGACTTCACCACAGACAGTCGTATCAGACACATCGAATTTGCGATCAACCAGGCTTGACTTCCATTTCGTGATGTTCATGAACAGTGAAACTTGCGATATCTGCAGAATTTGTGGAATTCATAGGAGCCGTGTTTGCCATCTATCAATGCTCCGGAACGCCGTCACAAAGAGCTGCCCCTCTTGTAAAACCACAGCCTCGCATCTTCAATGCCCAACGCGCTGACCAAGAGTATCTTTCCAAACGCGTCAATATCATCAGCAGCAGCATCCCTCAAGGCTTCCTCAAAGCCCTGCTTTGTAATCACAAGGTGCTGCTTCTCCTTCCAAGCAACAGCAAAGTCAACTACGGTAGGCGCCTTCCAAAGATGAGCGGACATGGTCCACGACTGACAAAACACGTATCGTTCCTCACATCCATTGGTAAGCGTGCCGACCAGAGCACTATAGGCAACAAGGAAGAAACAGGTGAAGAATATGGTACGTCGAGCTGACTCTTGGAAGATCCATTCCTGCCAAAAGTCCTTGGTCGGGCATGCGGTGTAGTCTTGGGCCGGGCCAGTGGCAGGCTGTTCCGGTTCCCACTTCACAAACGGCAGTAGGGCGAGTATGGTGTGTTCTAGAGAGGATAAGGTGTGCTGAGCGGAGGCCCGCATGGAGATGTCGCCGTCGAACAGGCGGATTATTTGGTAGAGGAGGATGGCGTGGAAGCGAGCTAGAATGTCGAGGCGGTTCTTGGGCATTGGTGAGGCGAGCAGCTCGTGAGCTCTGGCTTGGATGGTACGTAGGACGAAGGATGAGTTGATTCTGTTCTTCGCTATGTAAAGAGCGCAGCAGGCTTGAGCATCTGGTGAATGTACAGTCAGATTCTTCCCATGGATAGTGGACTTGGGCGAGGGCGACATGAGGTACTTACCTTGCATGTCTCGGGGCATGTGGGCTCGATACAAACAGGGATGGCTCCACGGAGCTTGGTTCTCCATCACCACCGTGGTCGGAACCTTTTTGATTTCATCAAGGGCATACTGAAGACGGTTGGCTATCACACTCTCAAGTGAGCCTGGGGCAGAGTCGTAAGATGGGACAAGCATATCGTCTGGCTTGGGCGTGAGGGAAGGAGCGATCAAGGCCCCTTCGAGGAAGGCTTCACTGGTGATGAGTTCGTCAAAGGCCAGATCAAAGTTGACATCTTCCAAGTCTCCCATGTCTAAAGGTAAAAGATCCGGATTCTGGGACCAAGGAGTGAGGGAAGCGCTGGAGCCAGCGTTGTCGTCGAGGAGGGGAACGGGACTTGGAGCTGCACTGCTTTGATTATGCTGTCGCCGAGGCTTCGGGGTTCGCACAACGAGATCGCGATTGCTCGCCTTTGATCTGATCGGGATTGGCGGAGCGGAGTAGTCGCAGGCGATATTCCGCCTCGAGCACCGCAAGCATGCCGGTTGGCCGTGGTCGCATCTGCGCTTGGCTTTGGTGCAGGCTGTACATGTTTTCCGCCGTGGCGGCGGGTTGGCCCGCTCAAAGAATGAGTTTGACATGTTGGCCGATGCCCGCGTCGATTTCCCCCGTTAATGAGTGAAAGGACATCTGAATCTGACTGTCAAATTGAAGATAGGTTATGCCGTCACACTCCTCGAGGAAGCTTTCCAACCAAATTGAATGAGTGTCAAAGCACTGAAGGTGAGCGCTGAACGGATCTCATTGAGACGTTGTCAGCGCTGCTCGGTTTGAGCTTACTTAATCTGGCGGGATTCCGCCAACATTTCCCACTTCATCCTTCATCCTTCATCTCCTTTGTCTGCGTCTTTATTTGCAAGAAACACCAAAGTACTTATCGTTCCGACCAATCAGCCATGTATAATGTGCGATCAATACCATCAAGCGAAGCTGGCGGCGTCCCGTCGTCGGTCGCGCATCGTTGAAGGATTCCCGCGATGAGGACTTCAACGAATTGATGGCATCAATCATGGATTCTCAACATCCGGCATGACCGCTATCCTTTTGTGAGTATATAAAGCGCCGAGAGAACTGTTCTGACCTGCTACAGATCAAGCAGTCTCATCACAATATCTTCTTCCAATCGACTCTCACCGCGTTTCTTCCCTCACGTTTCACTTGGACTTATCAACCCAGCTTCGACATCACACACATACTGCAATGTCTCAACACACCATCTTCGTCAGCGGCGCAACAGGCACGGTCGGCGGTTCAGTCGCGCGAAACCTCCTCGCAGCCGGCATCGCAGTCCACGCCCTCGCCCGCAACCCAGACTCTCCCGCCGCCAAAGCGCTCTCCTCCCTCGGCGCCTCTCTCACCCCAGGAGGCTACGACGACGAAGGTGCCCTCGAGGAGGCGATGAAAGGCATCACAGGGGCCTTTTTGAACCTGATGCCCGACTTCGTCGACCACACCTGGGAACTCAAGACGGCGAAGCGCATCATGGCCGCTGCCAAGGCGGCAGGCGCCACACAATTCATCTACAGCAGCAGCTTCTCGGTAGACGCTCCTCAGAAGCTCAAGTACTGGGATCCCGAAAGCTTCACTGCTATGGTCCTTCTCTCGAAGCAGGCTATTGAGAACGAGGTCCGGAAAGCGGGCTTCGAGCACTGGACGATCCTACGACCCGGGAACTTTACGGCGAACTACATCCTCCCGATCGTTGCCGTGTACCCGGATCTTGCCAAGAAAGGGCGCTTCGTAACAGCTCTGACGCCCGAGACGAAGTTGCCGACGGTGGACCCGAACGATATCGGACAGTTTGCGTTGGCGGCGTACCGGGATCCTGTCAAGTTCAACACTCAGGAGATCTCACTTGCGTCGGAGCTCCTCACCGCAGATGATATCATGGGGAAACTTGCGAGGTTTACGGGGAAGGACATCAAGGCTGTCTATCTCTCTGATGAGGAGGTTGAGGCGCAGAAAGGAGGGAACCCGTTCTTGGCTGGACAGCTGGCTATGCGTGACATGGATCAGTTTGCTGATATTGAGGGGACAAGAAGCTGGGGAGTTGCCTTGGGGACCTTTGACGAATATCTGGAGCGGGAGAAAGAGAGGGTCAGCGAGACCTATGGACATCTTGCATAGACTTTTGTAGGGTGGTTTTCTCACAGGCTGCAAACGAGAGGAACGAGGACAACATACCAGAACCATGAGTCGATAGGATATATCAGACATCATCCAATATTAAACCCCCAAGCCTCGCTATGCCTCTCCCTCCCCCATCTCGCCATACCCTCCCCCAACCCCTGCGTCACCCCAGCATCATATCTCATCCCGCTGTCCGCCCACGCAACCCTTCCCGTCCTCCACGTAACCCACTCCTCCGCCAAACACCCCTCAGGCGCCCTCAAAATTCCAGCAGCGACATTGACCAACCTCTCTCCATTCGCCTGCTTCCTACCATCCACCCCAAAATACGCCATCGCACTCGCGCCACACGTCCCGCAGAACGACCGCCGCACGTTCTCAGACGACTTGAACGTCTTGGCCGTCCCACCGAGCTGGAGGCCCTCGGGCACGGAGGGGGTGATGCAGCTCTCGGGGATACAGACCCATGCTATGGCGTGGACTCCCGTTTGGAGACGGCAGTCGTCGCAGGCGTCTACGCAGGCCGGCCACTTTCGCGAGTCAACGGGCGAGAGCCAGGCTTCGTAGGCTTTATCCTCGAGCATGGAGGGTTTGGGGCGGGAGATTGTAAAGGAGACGCCGCCGCAGTGGCATTGCGCGCGGAGGACCTCTTCGCCATCGACGCCGACTTCTCGCCCGTGTCTCGTTGTAGGCGTCGCGGCTTCAGATTCGTCCTTCTTGGGATTCCAAAAGTTCATCTCTTTGCCGTTCACCGCTGGGAGCCATTCATATAATCCCCCGCCCGGCGCGGAGGCCGTGTTGACGTGAGACCGGATATCCCAGACGGCGGGTACATCATCCTGATTCGCGTCAAAGATGGACGCCGAGATAACCCAGTCGTCGTCGTCGACGCCCACGTCTCCGATGTGGCAGCTGCACGTACTGCAAAAGTACCGTGTGCTCGAGGCCGTCGCGTGGCGATAGGCCGTGAGAGAGGATGACAGCGAAGACGGGGCGATGAAAGAGGGGGATACGCCGGATGGGAGAGGCGCGTGGAAGATGCAGAGGGTTCCGTGAGTGTAGCGGCAGATGCTGCAGTGACAGAGGTGGACTCTGAGGGGGAGGGAGGAGGTGGGTAAAGTGAGGGTAAAGTGGACGGCTTTGCAGTAGCAACGGGCCGTGAGAGTCTTTGTTGTCGGGGCAGACCCGGCGGGTTGGGGATGGTCTTCACTCATTGCAATGTGAATTGTTCAAAGCCACGTTGAGAGTGAGGGGATATTCGATGAATTGCGTTGAAACATGATGAAGAAATGAGGTACGGAGCTTGACTTGAGCTACCGGTCTCACTTCCTATTTCAGCTGAGCGATAAGAATCAACTTGACATGACGCCGAAGGGCGTGGTGCAAGTCGAGTTAGCCTAATATGCGGGGTTCAACCGCCACGAGAGAACCGCGCCTACAACGCCTTCAACATAAAACCATGTGGCGTTGCGATGTCGGATGACTTTCTCATAACTATGTTTCATTACATATATAGCTAAAGGTAGATTCAAACAATTGTCTAAAAGGGTATCACTTGTGGCCGCGTTCATACTCATATTGTATCACACTCTTATGCTGTGCTCTTCCTGCTCTCCTTCTTGAGCACCTTGTCCTTTGCGTCCTGGCGCCACTTCACGCCCCAGTACATGATGGCCAGCAATGCCGGACTGAAGACAATATAGAGAAGAGCCAGAAAAGTAAAGGCCCAGCCCACGCCCATCCCGTTAATCATGGGAATTATCGCTGCAGTCGCAGCCGCACCGAGCAGACACCTCGTAAAATTGTTCGCCGCCGTTGCAGTCCCGGCTTTCCCTGGGTGGATGTCGATGATGAGCGTATTGGTCGTGTTATTGAATCCAATCATGCCGACTCCGAAGAGAAAGAGCAGCACGCATGGCACAGCCACGGGCGCTCGAAGGTGTAGAGCCCAACCCCAGATGAGCAGCAGAATCGAGCTGAGATACAGCAGCGGAAGACCGACTTCGAGGCGGGCTTTCTCAATGGGGAACCCAGTCATGTCTTGCTGACGAGACTTATCGTAGGGAATCCCAAGGCGCTTGCAATGCCGGCGGTAGTTCCAGTTGATTAGAGGTCCTACAAGAAAGGCAGCCACGACTGAGCCGCCAGCCATGGGCAGGTACATGAGGCCGACCTTAAGACTGTCGAAACCGTAGATCTCCTGGAACTGGGTCGGCATGGAAGAGGCGATAGCGTAAAACCCAGCAAAGACAATGGCGCTGAAGCCGAGAAGTAGCCCAAGCTCTCTCTCGAAGAGTAGACGAAGTGACTCAAACGGGCTGATCTTGAACTTGAGACTTGGTTTGACAGGGTTTGATGCTCCTGTTGTTTGTCTCGTTACCGGCGCTCCATCTCCCTTCTTGGCTCTGTAATGGTCCTTGATAAGCTGGAAGCCGGTTCGGTAGAGCTTTGGCGGTCGCACGGAGCCATCATCCACAATCCTCCTGCAAGTCTCTGGGAAGAAGAGAAGAAGAACGATGAAGAAGACGCCGGCCAGAATGGCAAGAAACCAAAATATAGATCTCCATCCTAGATACTGTGCTAGAACACCACCGAGGACTGGCCCCAGTGCGGGCGCTAGAACAATGGGTATAACAGTAAGACCAACGTACTGTCCCCTCTCAGCCGATGTGATGCTGTCTGCCACGACAGCTGAGGCCAGAGCAACGGTGCTGCTAGAGCCTGCAGACTGGATGCAGCGAATGACGAGCAAAGAAGCAAAGTTCTGCGAGAGCGCAAGGCCAATGTTGGCCGCGATGTAGACGACGAAGCAAATCACATATGCAGGGCGTCTGCCGCTCTGATCAGCCAGAGAACCGATGAACATAGGCACGATTCCCTGAAATATCATGTAAGTCGTCAGGGTAAGGTTCATGTCCGAGTCGGAGACGTTGAACTCGTGAGCGAGAACGGTCAGAGCGGGAAGGTAGATTTGCGCGGTGAAAGGCGAGAAGAAGGCAGCCAGAGCGGCTCCCAGCACGATGAGCCGCTTCTCCCATGTCGTATAAACTGTAAATGGTGGAGGCTGTTGTTCTTCTGGCGGTGTAGCTGCTTCCTCGTCCACTATTGTAGATTTGGTAGAGTCGACCGGTGGCGCTGACATGTCTGAAGACGTGGGACTCGTTGGTCGAGACATTGTTGGCGATGATGTTTGATCTCAGTCTTGGCCAGCCTTGATACAGAGCCTGATGATGGGAAATGCAGTAAGAGGAATGCCAGTCATTGGGGCAAATGTATTGATAAATACATGTTATTGCCGAGATCAGGACTTATGATAAAAAAGTCCGTCTGCGGCTAAGTAGTTGACTAGGCAGTCATTGGGGCATAATCGGGCATTTTGGGGGCTTTGGGGCCATTTGGGGGCATTTGGGGCGCAGATGTAATCGATCACCGCTCGTTCGGTGGAACTAATACGACATCGTTGTCAGAATGCATACTCGGTGCCGAGTCGGCGTGTGTCGAAGAGTGAGCGTCGGCTGGAGTTGCGACAGTATCAGGCTAGCGGACAATAAGACTTCGGTATCTCTCTGTCTTAGTCAATCTGTGCCCCGTGGGTCTTTTGCGGCCCAAGTAGAAAAAAGCGTAAGATCCCGGCGATAATCACACTACCGCGTGACTTATCCATCGCGGACCTTGACCCGAAGCCCTCGAACGGAGTGCTGAGCGGGCCGCTCTCGGCAAAGGCATATAATCATGGTTGTCTCGTCTATTCGATGGTAGCAGAAGAAGAAAAGTTCAGCCATAAGAACGTGTCATGGTCATTGAAAAACAACATGATGTGATGAGTGCGATGGAATATCGAGGTGAAGTTGAAAGTTTTGAGTTACACTCGAACTTACACGGAACGCCAAGAGGGAGGAGGACGGGAGCCAGGGAGGAAGGCACCTCCGGAATGGGGCGGACCGTCTTCGGGAAATTTCGACACTGTACGTACACACAGTACGTACAGCTCTGTCATCGATTGGGAAGGCGGTAACGTGTTTTCTTGGAGAAGCCACCTGGAGACTTGGAGGTACCCTTGTACTTTTGGGAGGGAGCTCCAGCATGAAGTGTCCAGAGCTCCGTCGGGCTTCAGGCAGGCCCTTACCTTAGACCTCAAGACCCTGCATTCACTCAAGAGCTGCTCTCGATATCTACCCTCTTAACCTCTCCTGTCTCGAGAACTACCCTACACATCTTCAGACTCGGTGCCCTGTCGCATATCAGCCCAAAATGGTCAGTCGTGCAGACTCCCTCCTAACCTTAAACCCCAGATGCGCCGTACTAACAAGCTGCAGAACGTCCAATACAACTCGGCCCTGCGCCAGAGCAAAGCCATCCGCAACGACCTCGAGAAGCTGTCCTCCTCAGCTGCGCAACCAGCTGCCTTGACCCCCGCCGAGATTGGCAATGTGTCTGCATCTCTCGCCTCTTTTTCCAAGACCGTCGACGAATACAACCAACTAGCTCGCCAGGAGCTCGTACCCAAGAAACAAGAAGAAGCCTACGAACGAGTGAAACGGTTCCGCGATGACCTCTCCGATTTCCGCTCTCAGGTCGACTCTCTCAAGAAGGCTCGCGAAGAAGCCGCCCACAACAATAATCGAGGCGAGCTGCTAGGCCGTCGAGCTTATGTCACAGCCACCCCCGAGAACCCCTACGCCAACGTCAATAAGTCGTCCCAATTCCACAGCCGAGGTGCTTCGACAGGTCAGGCCGGCGGCGGTGGGCTGAGCATGGGCGGAAACGATGTCACAAGAGAACAACACGCCCTGCGAGAGCAGAACTTCTTTGCTAGCACCAACTCAGCCTTGGACGAATACATTGCTCGCGGGCAAGCCGTACTAGGCGATCTCGGAACGCAGCGCGAAATGCTCAAGAACACCCAAAAGAGGCTCTACTCTGTCGGCAACACGCTGGGCATCTCTGGCGACACCATTCGCATGATTGAGCGCCGCGCCAAGGAAGACAAGTGGATC